AGCTCCAGAAGCCCGGGAAAAACTGAGCCGCTTTTTCAAACCTCGCCCAGACCAGAGAGAGAGGGAGGAACCCAAAGTGGCCGCTAACGGCTGGGGCTGGTGTGAAATTCAGCCCCAAAGAGGAGAAAAATCCTTGGATTTCCTCTCCACCCCCTTCCCGGAATGGGRATTCCGCTGCCCCAGGGTTCAGGAGATGAGTTTTAACCTTTTCARCGCTGATTTTATCGTTTAAAGTCAAGGTCGGAGCAGGGTTTGATACAAAAGTTGTATTTTTAGTCAGCTCGGTTCTGGGTAATACTYGTCTTTCGTCAGAAATTCATTTTGGGGTTAATGAAGGGTTTTTTTGCTGAGCATTTCCAAGCTGCGAACATCACCAAAATTTAAGGACACAGCCCCCAGTCAATCCCCTCCAGGGCTGTTTTGTCTAAAATTACCTAAAATCCCAATTTTTTTTTAGTTATTTTGCTTTTTAGTTGAAAGCAGAGAAAAGCGAACACACCTGAACCCAAACCCTGCCTCCTCTCCGGAGCTGTTTCACCTAAAAATACCCAAAATCCCAACTTTTTTCCAGTATTTTGCTTTATTCGAAAGCCAGAAAAAAAAAAAAAAAATTGCTCACAACCTGAACCCAACCACTSCCGCGTTCCCACTTAAAACGGAAATTAAAAACTTTTTTTTTTTTTCCTTCAAACCAGACTTTCAAAAACCAAAACAAAGCCTGAATAAGTTTGAACTTGACTTTTCAGCCAACAGCACTCGCACGTGGTGGAAATTCCTAAAAATCTGAGGAATTCCGAGCTCGCCGAGCGCAGTTTCGATTTCCCCGCCAGCTCTGTTTTCAAATATCCGATATTTCACCCCGAATCCCTGAACCTGAGCCAACCTGAAGGTGAAATAATAAATTTCCAGCGGATTTCAGGTCCTTGCGAGCTGYAGAAAACGTCCCTGGGAGCAGAGCGAAGTCGCCGAGGAAATCGTGAATCACCCACGAGTCACGAACTGAAAAGTTTTTTTCCACTCCAAAATTTAAACCTCGCCACAAGGAAGAGTCATTTGGCTGTTCTGGGACTCAAAGTTCCTCTTCGAGGCATAAAAATCCCCACGGGACCGCAGCTTTTTTTTAAATTAGAGATCTTACGTGGCTGAAAAGTCGGGTTTAAATTTATTCAGGGTTCTTTTTGGGGTTTTGAAAGTCTCGTTTTAAGGGGAAAAAAAAAGTTTCTAAATTCAATTTGAAGTGGAAACATAGCGGGGGTTGGGTTCAGGTGTGACCGCCTTTTTTTCCAGGATTTAAATAAAGCAAAATACTAAAAACAAACTCGTGATTTTGGGTAATTTTAGGTAAAACAGCCCCGGGGGGGAGGCTTTAAACAGGCACTGATGTGATCATCAAGTCCTGATAATTAAATTTGTCCCCATCAGAGTCCTTGGGGTTTTTTTCATGCCACAAATCCAGACTTTCTAATTTAAAAATAAAACAAAAAACACTTTTTAAATTCTGATTTGTACCCGAGATGAATTTTGYGGCTGGCACGATGCATCTGCCAGGAATTTTGTGCCGCTCCCCAAAAACCTCCCCAAAAACCTTTGGTAAATAAAAGCAGATAACAAATAAAAAAAAAAATGTTGTGCAACTGCTGTTTTTGTTGTGAAACGGGGGCAGCAGGAGGGAAAACAAAAGTGATCACTTCAATTAAAGTCACAAAGAGAGAATTCCTGTGTAAATCTCCCTAAATCGTTGCATTAATTCAGGATAGGGCAGCACTTCCACCACCCGGAACGCCCTTAATTTGCATTTATCTTTATTTTAGCAAGGTTAAAAAAGGGCTTTTCTCAGGGTTTTTTTCCTCAATAGCTGATGCTTCTTTAAATAACTAAAACTCAGTTTCTCAGAGTGGGTTTATGAGGGAGAATCGGTGTCAAATCAAGGGTGAAATATTGAAATGTTAAAATTGCAGAGCGGTTTGGGTTGGAAAGGGCATTAAAGCTCCTCAGCCCCAAGAGCAGCGAAACCTTCAGCGATCCCACATTGCTCCAATGCCTGGGATATTTCCAGGGATCCATGGGCAGCCAC